TTCTTCTGGTATGGAAGACGTAGGTGCCTGCTATACTGTTGATGGCCAGAGGCATGCAAGGAGTTTTTACCATGCTCATCCGGTATGGCAGTTGTTGCAGGCGCCCACAACATTGTAGGTCAAATGTTAGCGCCCACAACACTGTTCTGACATGCCTTGAAGTTTGCGGGGCACTCTTCTGACATGTCCTATTGGTACTGTCATGTAGGTGTATAGGGTATGGTCCTTGGTATTATAGTTTGACTTGTGTGCCCTGCCTTACTTTCTTCATCCATTAACTAGTCCTCATCGGGCAGGCGTCCCCGGTCTATTGGTCCCAGTCGGCTCTAATTACACTAGTCAGAGAGGAGCTGTAAGTAGGGGTTCAGCAGATTCCCGATTGGAGAAGTGGGTCGGAGTCAGAAGTGGTGTTTTGGCTAGGCCTTCCGGTCAGGGAGGCCGTTAGAGGTCGGCCGGTGTTGGAAGCGAGCGTTGTTCCTCCTTTGTGAGGCCCTCCAGTTAGAGAGGCGGCCCGGAGTCTGAAGCGGGGGTCATTCCTCCTCAGCCTAGGCCTTTCGGTCGGAGATTGGATTGTCCTTCTAACCTGTCGTTTAGGTGTTTTGGGCCGGCCTAGGAGTTGTGCGTTGTTCACAACGTTGTCTGCTGGGCCGAGCCTTTATTGGAAAGCCGATCCATGAGGGACCCTGGGTTTATGAACCCAACAGTCGGTTTCCTCCCTGCGCTCCCACGCGCACAACTTCAGCTGCTTTTTCCTCCTCTCATCCTCCTTTGCCTACCGCTACCGCTCGGCCATGACGCGGTTGGCCGCCGTCATGGTCAGATCCTTCGGCAGTGGAGCCGGAAGATCCATAAGGATGAGCTTCTTCGGCTGCCCCCCTATCTCAGTATCAGCGTCAAGAGGTCGGGAGTTCAATCAAAAAGGAGGCATGAGGAAAGAAAACTTACAAAAACAATGTACCCCGGTTCCGGCCGCATTGGGGGATGCCCCGGCACCGGATATACAAAGTCAAGGATAGCGCCGGCATTGTCCTACGGAGGCTGCATCACCTCCTTGATATGCTACGCCACTTCAGAGGGGGAGAGTGCTCCCTCAGCGAGCGCCATCCCATCAAGTGACGCCCCGGGCATCATCATGTGCAGGGGCAGCATGCGCCTCATCGCGGCGCCACCCTCCGCGCGTGATAGGCGCCAATGATCCCCGACCCCTTCATGCCCCTCTCCTTCAAAATTCGGATGGCGGCGAGATGGTCCTGGATCTCTTCTTGTCTTTCTCCAGGACTCCCCACCTCCTCCACGATTCTAGGACCTCTTCGATGAGGCGCCCGATGAACTCTGGCAAGGGGGTGGCTGCGTCGTTCTTAACATAGAACCATTGCAAATGCCACCCCTTGTTGGAGGTCGACAGATGCATCGGCGGGTACTCGCTGACCCGGTTGTTGCGTAGTTGAATACCGGCGCATCCCATCGGCACGTTCAGCTCCTGCTTCTTCTCCCACTTCTTTAGGAGGGTGACGACAAAGAAGTACCACCACATGTCGAAGTGGGGACTAATCCCTTGGAACCCCTCACATAGGGCGACGAACACGTTAATGTGTTGGATCACATTGGGATTAAGGTGCTGCAGCTCCACCTTGTAGTAGTGCAGCAAGCCCCAAAGAAACTTATGGGTGGGGCTGGCAAATCCCCGCTCGTGGAAGTGAGCAAAGGATACGACATACCCATCGGGCGGCGATGGCGCGTCCTCATCACCGGGCAACCGCCACTCCTTGGCTGCAATCCACGCGCAAAGAAGGCCGCGATGAACAAGGCCCTCCAGGCACTAAAGGGTGATATTAGATCTGCACCATGGCACCATTGAATGATTGGGGTGGGTGGATGCCAACTTGATGGTGGCTAAGATGTGGATGCGGGAGGCTTAGGCGATTGGCGGTGGAGGTTGTAGATGCAAAGGCAAGGAGGCAGTGTACGAAACCCTAGGGGTGAACCCTTTGGTTTTATAGGGGCGACGGATGCGAGGAAGGCAACTATCCATCTGGATCTCCGCACCTGCCACGATTCGCCACCACGTCACCACACGGGATATGTGCCCCCAATCCCTATCCTTTCCCTCCAAAATCGCTCCGAATGTTTTGCCTCCCTGGGCAGACAAGGACTCTTTACCAGCAAAAGGATTCAGGTCAAAAAGTGTTCCTCCAGCCCGGCTAGGCCCAGGAATTTTAGGGCTGGCCCATCAATGGTTTCAACGGCCGTCCCATGGCACCCTTACGACAAAGGCATGGGCCCATGATTGGCCAAAACTCAGGGCACAAGCTTCACGAGAGTCTCGGTCCGCGATCGAGTCTCAGCCGGGCTGACTCTGACCGGATCCCTGCAAACGGGATGTCAGGATCCCAATTAAGCTATCCGGCTAAACAACCACCAAATCTCACGACAATACCCGCGGAGGGTCTGACCTCGGTGAAGAAGAAATTGCATATTCAGGGCACACCGTGGACGACAATGGAGGGCCAGGGCTCTTAGAATCCTCTCTTTCGAAAAACCCTCTGAAGGAGTATCCTACTCCTCCACAGGCTCGGGGGCTACACCCACCAGGTGCGCTCATGCGCACCTACTGGCAATTCAAAAATCCCCAAGCGATTCTGCTCGAATCACCTAGGGACTCGGGGGCTACTGTCGGGGACCAATATTAGGGTACCCAAAGAGGAGCTAACGACCGTCGAACGCTGACTCATCCGCACAATGAAGAGCACGACTACACCGCTTACCAGGTTACTCCTCGTCCATCCACCGGGACCATGGGCCTCGCCCCAAGCTGACTTCGCCTCGCCCAACGTCTGGGGGTTGGCTCCGCCTCGCCCGACGTCTGATGGTAGACTCCACCTCGTCCGATGTCTGGGGGCTGGCTCCGCCTCACCCAACGTCCGAGGGTAGGCTTTGCCTCGCCCGACCCCCAGGGGCTGGCTCCACCTCGCTCGATGTCCGAGGGCAGGCTCCGCCTCACCAGACGTCTGGGGGCTGGCTCTGCCTCGCCCGACGTCCGGGGGCAGACTCCACCTCACTCGATGTCCGGGGGCTGGCTCCGCCTCGCCTAACATCCGAGGGCAGACTCCGCCTCACCCGACGTTCGAGGGTAGGCTCTGCCTCAACCGACGTCCAGGGGCAGCCTCCGCCTCGCCTGACGTCCGGGGGCTGGCTCCATCTCACCCGACGTCCGGGGGTAGGCTCCGCCTCGCCTGACCCCCGAGGGCAGGCTCCGCCTCGCCTGACGTCCGGGGGCTGGCTCCGTCTCGCCCGACGTCCGGGGGCAGGCTCCGCCTCACCGGATGTCCGGGGGCTGGCTCCGCCTCGCCCGATGTCTGCGCGCTGCTCCTTCATAACTACGCGCGCAGATAAGGCAAGGCACTCAAGTCAACCGCAATACAGAGGACCATACCCTGCACCATACCCAGCAAGCCTACAGGAATGTACCGACATGATATGACAAGACGAGCGCTTTAAGGCCCTTCCGGGTCTGTCAGAGCCTGAACAGTGTTGTGGGCGCCGATATTTGTTTTACAGTGTTGTGGGCGCCGCCATTGGCCCTCAGGCGCGGATCCTGATGGAACCATACGACAACCACTACGGTCCAAGAGGAGACTCACGTCCTCTACAGTGACGGACGTGCAGTCACTACGCCGTCCACTCACCGTAGGGTTGCGGATCGACACCCCAGTCCGTCGCGCCGCCCGTCGGGGCAGGATGGGACATGACCACTTGCTGATCAAGCCAGAGCGTGGCATCATCAATGGACAGACGCTCAGCATGGAGCTATCCCTGGCACCGTCTGCTGTGTCAGCAGGGCTGGCTCAGAGGAAAAGGAAGACCCGACACATTCAAAGGACTTTCTTGGCCTCTGATTTTTCTCCTTTCTCCCATCTGTAATCCCTACTTCCCCTTAGTCTATAAGAGGGAAGGCAGGGCACCCCACTAGGGAGACCGATCGATTCAACACACCACGCATCTCATCACACATAGCTGAGCAGCAACCAAGCTCTCAGCGCCCTTTCAACCTTTCCATCAGAGACTTAGGACTTATTCCTCTCTCGTCTGTTTGTACCCCCTACTATGAACTTTTCAGTGTAAATAACACGAGCAGCAGCCGCGAACTGGACGTAGGGACATTCTGCCCGAATCAGTATAAACCTTGTGTCTTTTTAGCACACCATCTGGGCCAGACGCGCAATAATACAAATTTACTCGTTGATGTTTACTTGAAACACCGACAGTAGTACTGCTAGATCAAAAACCAATTGAAATTGAGGAATGCATCGTCTTTTACAAAACTAAACAAATTAAGTAAACTTACTGATTTGGCACTTATCCTTTTTGGGCGCATACATACTTCCAGTAATAGGAGCTTATAATGAGATAAGAATCATTGCCATGCTGCCATGACTGTTGTCAGCTATCTGCACTAATACCTCCTGCTAGCTTTTCCTTTGAAATAATTTTGGCACCTGCCCTACCTTTCCCTTCCAACGCCAACCTATTCATACTACACAGTGCTAATTATATATAGCTGTCATGAATTATTTGCTTGCAAAGTTGCATATATATGAGTATAGATGCCCCATACATGGCCTCAATTCATCATTCTCTTTTTGCACCTGATCCAGCATGTTATATATACTTAGCCTGTCGTAGAAACCACCAGTAGGCAGTACCTATTATCATATCCATCTTTTCCCTTGCAAAACATCCTTCGATTGCTTGCTTGGGCGACATCATAACTTCTTGCTTTTCGTCTCATCAAGCTACTTAGCTTGCTACTAAAACTGGTCGATCACCATCTGTACAAAACTTAGTTTGATAAGAACACATGCATGAGTTTACTTTGCTTTAGCTTCAGAACACTCTTTGCGTTTGTTTGTAATTCACGGACGAGTACACGTGTTGCTGTTATTAGCACGTGTACCCTCTACCAATGCAAGCTAAACTAGTTACAGTATATATATGTTTCTCTACCGGAATGTGCCTCCAAATGTAGGGTGCCAGAACTCCGGCGTCTCGGCCGCCACCGTGTATGTGGTCGCCACTGGGACAAGGCACAGGCCTCGGCTCTGCAGGTCATGCTTCGTGTCACCGTTGTCCTTGGAATCCTCGGAGCCCTAGTCGAGGAGAAAAATGATGTAAACATATGCCAATCGAAAATATAGTACCAAAGGCTGGTAATTGTTTTCATTAAGGAACTGCTAGAAGCAAAAGTTGATATATATATACTACCTTGTGCTGGAATTGCTTCATGGGAACCCCATTTTTCAAGTAGGGAGAGCTCAGTGACTGCAGGTAGTATATCGCAAGATATGATAGGGATTAGGGACAAAATAAATGAAACAAAATTTGCTAACATATAAAGCAGCTTGCATTGGCATTTAAGATATACTCACCGCAACTTGGTCGTGAAGGAATTTGATGTATTCGATGGCCTCGTGAAGAACCGATGCGGTATCAGTCTAAAGTATGACCCATAACCATGCATATATAAGATTGATCCGTCAGGTCATTATCCAAGATGAGTTCTAGCATCACTTGTGTCCTCTCATATGCTAATTGCAACGGCGAGGAATGTGAGGGAATTGACGACGCAGAGCAGAAAGAACTAATACCTTTCCAAAAGGCGAGACTAGTTGCTGGAGCGCAGTGATTCTGTCCCCTAGCTTCTCTTTCCTCACCTGCAGCGCAAAAGCGAGCAGGAAAAGAGAAAACATTTAGCAGTCCAGACTCTATGGTCATCAATCATCCATCGATGCACCAGACGGAAATCCGAAATGTCATTTCATTCATCAAAAGGAACAAAAAGAGACACAGCCAACTGCTGAAAGATTAAAAAAGAAACCAACTCAGATCGCTCTTCACCTTAAAAGTCGGCAGCGGCGACGGCGCCTCGATCCGTGGCCTTTTCGCGGCGGTAGTAGGCGGCTCGGAGACGCTTTTCCTCGTCGCCGGTGGTGGAGAGCCGTCGTCCTGGACAGACAAACACGGAATTGGAGTGCAAGCGAAACTGATGCTATGACTTGACGAAACCCTAGATATCAGCTATGAACTCATCAAGAATTCTAGCTAGATTCGTGACTCTGGTGCATGTCTTCTCTTAATTACCTTCACCGTCAGAGAGTTAGCGTTGGAGCTGCGGCTATTGGGCTCAGCTGCCTGCAGGGCCTGCAAGAGAAGGTGGGACGGCAGCGGGACACCGAAAGGAAGGTAACTGCCGGCGGACAAGTACTGCATCGGAGCGCCGACGCCGACGCCTTGCATCGGCGTAGACGCCGCGGGCACCGAGGTCTTGAGCAGCTGGGAAGAAAACTGCATCGACGCCGCCGTGGCGTCGTAGCTGACCGAGGACTCGCTGTCTCCGTACATCGAAATGTTGTGCACCGCCGCCGCGTCGTCGAATAGAGCTTGAGCTTGCGATGGGTCCGTGGCGTAGGGCGACGGCGCTAGCTGCGCCTGCTGGTCGACCAAGAAGCCGGCACCCATGTCGCCGTCCCTGATTAATGGATCGTTCATCGCGGGGGGTTGTTCTTGGAGCACGGCTTGGAAGCTGGTATCACTCCTCCCGCTCCTGATTAAAGTTCATGCAAGATCGGATGCTTCATTAGTTACCCCCACCATGAGGGCTCTAGAGACCCAGAACACATGGATGCGAAGGATGGACGACGACGACGACGCTATGTATGTATAGCTAACTTACAAGAAGGCCTGCGTCCAGTCCATGTGTGGATCACCGAGCGACGAGGCGGCATCAGACAGAGGCTGCTGATGGGTGGAGCTCCTGTAGCAGGGATCCTGGAAGGTTACGGAGCTCGTCGACTCAGCGGCGGCTGCGGTGGGGGAGGCCCAGCCGCAGGCCAGCCTGCCGCCCGTGACCGTGAGCGGCGGCGGCGGCGCGGCGGCCGAGCACGCTGACGCGCCGTGACTCCTGTGAGAGGTACTATCCCACCACTGGTCGGCCATGGATCGGAGTGATGGAAGATCTCCCTGGCTCTGCTTCTTGCGGTGCCTGGTTCGCTCGAGGTGTGGTGTGGGCGTGTGGCAGAAAGGTGGATTGAACGGGAGGAAAGGGAGGAGGGCAATCTGGATATATATGAATGAAGGGTTCAGCGGCGTGTGCGTTGAGCATCAATCAAACCATGGTGGTGGTGGACTTGTATAGGGAAGGGAAGCAGGAGGCTGACCTTTGGGATGGGACCCAACGGAGTAGTAGTTAATACAGCAGTGTCATGTCATGAGCGGTCTTACATTCCCTTTTTCTTTTCTTAATGTTTTGTCAAAACGTTATTAGGTGGTAAGGGTCTATTTGGTTATGGTCAGTTATCGGGAATACTGCACCCAAAATCAGCTTATTCATCCATGTTTGTCTTTTGGTCTTTTTTGGGTCCTTTTCCAGAGATATACGTACGTACTTACCAGAGATCTCATTATACGATTACGTTGGACGAATAACGTACCATTTTGGAGGTATAATTGCAATCGTTGTTACTAATTAGGCGCTCAAAACGTTTCGTCTCGCAAAGTACAAACCAAACTGTGTAATTAAATCTCAGTTTAATATAGTGTGAAAAAAAACTAAACATGGCCTAAGTGTGAAAAAAGAGGTAGCGTTATTACACAAAATTTTGGTAACTAGTACATTAAACTTATGAGACATAAGCAAGATGATCATGTTTAATATTTACAGCTAATAAAACTATTTACATTAATTTGCACTCTTTTTTCTTTGTTATAAATACTTTATATTCTACATTTAATTATAAACTTATCAATTATTATACATTGAATTGTCCATATACATAGTTTTTTCTCCTTTGCATTGCACTCATGCGTATTTGAAATACCCATTGAGTTGAAACCTTAGTTTAAGTTAGCCTATGTCTCATGACCCCATGAATTTAAGGTTTATTTTTTTTACTTTAAAATTATTAGTTGCTAAAACACCCTCAAGTTAATTCAAAACTCTTGTGTTTACAATATTTTTTTATAGTGACAGAAGTGGATGAGTGTTTCAAAAATAGGACATATCCAATGGCTATTATGAATGGTGATTAGAGTCTGTTGAGTTGGTGGTGGTAAGATCATTCCAATTTTTGTTAGAATTTTTTAAATTTTTTCGCACATCTCATGAGAATTAACGTGGAGGCCCTGTTAGTAATATTAAGATATGTATTGCCATAGTTTACATTGCAACACCTTTGACGCATACATAGCGCACGCAATAGAATCCACATGTATATTGGACGTAGGGCACCCTCTATCTGAACTTGTACATACTTTGTGTCCCATGTGGTACTATCTAAATATGTTATTTATAATACACACCACCTCATAATCATAGCAGGATGTAAAAACATCTACACATTTTCTATGGTTTGTTATGGTAACAATTTTCCATGCTCGATAAATTATTAAGAATGATACTTGATCTACATAGTCACATATATCATTTTTACATTTAATTTAGTGGTGGTGTAGAACACATATATAACTTACTTTATGGCTACGGAATTATTTCCGTAATAGCTTATATTAATATTTAAAAACATAGGTTGAGGGATTTTTAGTTTTTATTACGTCAGAAGGGAAAATCTATATACAAATCAAAGTTGTTTCTTCATATTATCTTTCATAATGAAAATTTTGAGTAATTTAGATACAAACAAGGAGTTATTTTTATTATCTTTTATGATGACAGAGATGTGTTATTTACATGTAACTTGAGAAGGTTATTTTAAAATATCTTTCATGGTTGTAGAGGTGGATAATTTAGATGCAAATTTAGAAATAATTATGTATTTTTATAATTACATAGGTGGATAATGTTTTAGAATAAAACAAAATAGATTCAAATACTATTATTGGCGATGGTGAATAAAGTTTACAAAATTAAAAATTAGATGTTTATGCTTATTCCCATGGCCTTCACATCAAAATGATCACACAGAAGCCTGCAGCTTGACTGCAGCCCCCATCCATAAAAAACTAACGAACTTATTGGAGCTAGAGGTGCATATGCATGCCGCTTTCCACATGCATGATAAATTCTATCAAAAAACTACCTGAGGAGATTACTGAATGCGGCTTGACCTAGCTGGTGAATTATACACAGCTGGTAGTCACTACCAGCAGCCCCTGCATAATTCCTTGGACCTGTTGACCTCGATCAGCGCTACTAGCGCACGAGGTTGATTGATATGTATTTGCTTCGGTACAAAGGGAAATCATGTGGTTGCTGCTTTGCACTTTTTTTTGAAAAGTACTCCCTCCATCTCAAATTGTAAGTCATTCCAAGAATCTTGGAGAGTCAAAGTTTTTCAAGTTTGATCAAATTTATATAACAAAATAATAATATTTATCATACCAAGTAAGTATTATTAGATTCTTCATTAGTTATATTTTCATATTATACCTATTTGATGTCATCAATCTTTGTGTTTCTCTCTATAATTTTAGTCAAACTTGAAAAAGTTAGACTCTTCAAAATTCTTGGAATGACTTACCATTTGGGATGGAGGGAGTACGAAGGAGATGGTTAACTCACTCATGACCTCCCGTTGTAACAATAACCGTGTGAAATTCTTCTACTTTCCTTTTATGTCCTTCTCCTGTCACCTCTTCTCCCTTGTAACGGCTACAGAGCCATCTTAGAAGAAAAAAAAGGTGTAGCCTGTTTTTGCTTAAGACATATTTATCATGCATCAAAAAGTTCAGGAAGCAGGGAAATTGCAACCTATTGACAATTTGACAAAAAAGTGCACATATAAAACAAGGTGCTTAGAAGCGAATATTTGAAGAAAGATAATATTGCCACATCATAAGAACCAATATAGAAATTAATTCAAACAATGCAAGTTGTGTTTAAATAGGCCCAACAACCTTACTTGTACACATCGAACAACAGCAAACGTAAGAATGTTACCCACCTTTTAAGCAGTTAAGCATCAGCGCAAATAACATGGTGAAAAATGGTTTGTCATTAAGCATATCCTCTAACTCTAAGCACCCCAATTTTATGGTTTTACATGCTTTGAAGCAATCATGTTGCAAATCTCGGTAGACGACCTTCAATAGATGCCACTAAGGAGGGATTGGATTAGAGAAAGGGGGTAGGGTTTTAAGATTTTACACCAAGAATTATTGCTTCCAGGTTTATCGGCGGCAGGAAGGGAGCAGGGGGGTATGGAGGTGTCTGCTAGATCGGTGGTGGAGGTCGGAGGTGTGCTAGGTGGTGAGACAGGGTGCTCTGGTCACAACATGTTTTAAGGACAACTAATAAGCAGGGGAGCAAAAACAAGTGAGAGAGAAATGACATAAATAAACTTAATGGTGGGGACGTCGTTAAGGACAAGAGGAGCCCATAGTAGTGGGACGTTAAGTGCTGCGCGCCCTAGATGAAAAGAGAAAGAAAGAAGTGAGCACAAGGGAGCATGGGTTAGAGCATGAACATGGCAGCGAGCCTTTGATGGCCATTGAAAAGCTCACAATTGTATACAGAGTCTTATGATAATGCAATTTGAAAGCATTTTCTATGATAACGTAGTTTTAGAGAGATTATATAGACTTAGAGTCTTAGAGGTCAAACAGAGCCAGCCAATACCTTATAGATATTGTAGGGACTGTTTGGTGGATATCTATATTCTACCATATACATTTCTTATCCACATATATACTCCCTAAAAACAATTCTCTATTGAAACAAAATCACTTGCTCAATTCATTTGACTACCTGTAATAAGTTTTAATTATGAGTGTGCTACTGTAATAAGTTTGGATTGATGCTTCTTCTTCTTAGAAAAAGGCTGAAGCTAGAAATTTTCCATTATCTAAAAAAAATCCATTTGACTACCGACCTAGATTCTCCCTGAAATGAACTAGAATTGGTGTGAATCATCCTTTTGGATGTTTTTTGCTCCCTAGTGTTAAACGAAACATTTTAAGGTGACTAGCTCAAAAAAAAATTCTCGATGGTGAATCAAGAAAGATACTCTTCCCTTTTGTGTCTGGAGACCAAAGTGAGCGTAATTTATGAGGAGTTGGAATTAATGTTTTCTTCGTTTTCCTTAAAAACCCTATAACAAAATAATCTTTGAGGGGTATCCCATCCCATAAAAACCCTTATAAAATGTTTTGACCATTATTTTATATTAGAATATAATGAACATCCTAACAAATTTATACTTTCATGAAAGTCTTTTTCAGACAAGTGTATGCATATGATCTTTTTAATTTCTATACAAAATTCTTTTAAAGTTCTTAGTAATCAAAGGTTTGGAAGTTTGACTCAAATCTTGTCAAAAATGTAAAAGTTTGTAAACCGGAGGCAAGTGAGCAGCGTTTATGCATATAACTTTTTAAGGCCGGTACATCCTTCGTGATTCACACCGAACTTTGCTCAAAAGTAGCTTTTTGCAGTTGCAGCTGGATTACCTTCTGGAGAAACTTTAGTGAAGGACACAGCATAAAAAGAAGAAGAACAAAAAGGTATAGATAGTGCTGCCTACTAGTTTGCTAACTGGTACACGAGCTTCATGCATGGCTTCTTCCTGAAGCTGATATAGAGAAATAGGGTCCGGCCGGTATGTAATGCATGTCAAAATGTTAACGGCGGGCGATCTACCAAGTTGGTCTCCGTCTAAATCACTTCGGCAGAAAGGTTGACACTTGACAGCAATACAGCATGTCCATGCATGTGTAGTAGAGTCAGTGGCTCTCAAGATGTAGGAAGACACAGCAGCAGTTCTAGTGGCAGGAACCGGCCGGCTGGCAAGCGACGTTTTCAGTATGCTCATGCATGTGAACGAGCTACAAAAGGCAGCGCATGCATATGCATGCCTAATTCTTTTTATACATGTCAGTTCGTTGCTGGGTAATAAGAAAGAATGTGGTCTCTGGTAAGGAATGGCTAACTACATGAAAAACATTCAGTTTAAACCTGTGCTTAGTGTAACTACGAGATGCCT